TATGGCTCTTTCTGCCAGAAATCCCTGTTTTTCCTCTTAAATATCGCTTATTTTCCTAGAAATCCCTTTTTTTAACCTTAAACATCGCTTGTTTTCTATTACTGAGTGTGCTGCCTTGTCTCGGAGCCATCTAGAACTATCTGTGCCCGTGACAGAGGACAGCAGGCCTGCAGTCCTTCTGGCCAAAAATAAAGATATGAATGATAATATGAACGATAATAATAATAACAACAACAATAATAAATCAGCAGCAAGGATCTTAGGAGGAAATGCAATTTTACTAAACATGATATGGGAATGCAAGATAACACAATATTATAAACTAAAATTGAAATTTAGGGTAATAAATGATATAAAATGAGAGAGCGAGCGTCTGAAACCAAAAGCCTTGCTTTGAACTGCAGGCGCACGGCTGGGGAGCGAAGCCACGCACTGCAGGGCAGCGAGCAAGGGAGAGATCCTGGGACTTCCTGCCATGGCTGATCTTCCCCTCTGAACTCAGAGTCCTCTGGGTCTGCAGTTCTTCTCTCCTGAGAGCCAGGGATCCAGAAAGTTGTCCATCCACAGACCTGCAGTATTGACTCCTTAATTCCCTGTGCTTTACATGATGTTATGATGTGGAGTGCCAATAACAAGGATCGTAAAACCATGGCACCAGATGGGGCGTTTGCAGCTTTGCTCGGCACACACAATCTGCTAGGACAAAAAATGCTGCAGGAATCAGTCTGTGTACTGGTGATTAATTCATCTGACTTCAAAGTACGTTGTGCAGAGATGACCCTGTTGTCTATCAGGAGCTGCCAATGCAGAGACCTAAGGACATCCCCAGGGAGAGCAGTGAGGAAGAGAAAATGCCATCTTCTGCTGGAGAGCTGGGCCGGGCTGCTGGGACACAGGGAGCTCATAAAAGTGGGCAGTGCTGCAGAGAGACGGCTGTGCCCAGGAGCAGCTCTTGTGCACAGCACAGCCTGCAGGTGACAGGAGGAGAGCAGAGAAAGGAGAGAGAGCTTGTAGGATGTGTATGGTGTGAGCAGGCTGTGAGCTCACTGGAGGAGCATCGCTGACAGCCTCTGACAAGGTCAGTCTCACTGCAGGCTGTGACTCTGCCGCCTGCCAGGCTCGGTGCTCAGCCTGCCTGGGGAGCTGCCCAGGGCGCTGCGGGGAGATGTGTGGGGGGAAGGAGCCCCTCGGCAGGGCAGGGCAGGGCAGGGCAGGAGCCTTCTGCTGCTGGGGGCATGGGGATCACAGCTTCAGCGCTCCCAGAGTGTCTCCAAGGGCACTTTGCAAGAGGAGAGACAAGGCAGGGATTTTCCCATACCTGTCCTTAGGGAAGGAGAATGAGTTGGAGGCAGAGATCTGAAAGGAGATGTGAAATATGAACGCAGCTATAAGAGTCCTGAACTTTACGTTTCTCAGTCTGCAGTTACATGCACAAGCTCCTCATGTGCTTTCAGCCCCTCTTCTCCCAAAGGATTGCACCAGCTGAAATTTCCGTACTTCTCTGCAGACATGAATAATGCACTTGTCCAGCAAACAGGCAGCTTTCTCTAGTAGAAATTCAAGTGCACAGAGGTAGGAATGGGCACTCTGAGTGCAGACAGACGAAAGATACGAGGAATGGAAATATGTCATAGGAAGAAAGTATCCAGGAGGCTGGGATATGATTAGGCAATGAGAGGAAAGCAAGAGCTCCTTCATCTTTGACTTCTCAAGGGATGGTGAAGCTCATGTAAATTCAAGTTATGGAGTTAAATGAACCCTGTCCTAAGAGAAAGAAAAACTGTTATAGTATAGGAGTGGAGTGTCTCTGAAAAAGCTCTTGACTGGTCATTATCTTCTGCACTCTGCACAGGACTCCATGCCCAGGAACTGCAGATGCCCAACAGCAGCTCCATCAGCCAGTTCCTCCTCCTGGCGTTGGCAGACACGCGGCAGCTGCAGCTCCTGCACTTCTGGCTCTTGCTGGGCATCTACCTGGCTGCCCTCCTGGGCAACGGCCTCATCAGCACAGCCGTAGCCTGCCACCACCGCCTGCACACCCCCATGTACTTCTTCCTGCTCAACCTCGCCCTCCTCGACCTGGGCTGCATCTCCACCACTCTCCCCAAAGCCATGGCCAATGCCCTCTGGGACACCAGGCACATCTCCTACGCTGGATGTGTTGCTCAGACCTTTCTGTTTGTCTTTCTGATGTCAGCAGAGTATTGCATCCTCACCATCATGTCCTATGACCGCTACGTTGCCATCTGCAAGCCCCTGCACTACGGGACCTTGATGGACAGCAGAGCTTGTGCCACCATGGCAGCAGCTGCCTGGGGCACTGGGCTTCTCTATTCCCTGCTGCACACTATCAGTACATTTTCTCAGCCACTGTGCCGAGGCAATGCTGTGGATCAGTTCTTCTGTGAAATCCCCCACATCCTCAAGCTCTCCTGCTCTGAATCAGACTACCTCAGGGAAATTGGTTTCATTGTGTTTACTCTTCTTGCCGTATTTGTGTGTTTTGTTTTCATTGTTGTGTCCTATGTGCAGATCTTCAGGGCCGTGCTGAGGATGCCCTCTGAGCAGGGACGGCACAAAGCCTTCTCCACGTGCCTCCCTCACCTGGCTGTGCTCTCCCTGTTTCTCAGCACTGACTTTTTGGCCTACATGAAGCCCCCATCCATCTCCTCCCCATCCTTGGACCTGGTGGTTTCATTTCTCTACTCGGTGGTGCCTCCATCATTAAACCCCCTCATCTACAGTATGAGGAACCAGGAGCTCAAGGATGCAGTGAGGAAAATGTCATGGACAAATTTCAGTAGGGTCGTCTTCTCATCTGCCTGAACAAATGACTCAGTTTTTTCTGAAACATGTCTATGTTGTCTTAGAAATATTGAATGGCCTGTACTGAAAAGGACTATAAAGATCATCTAGTTTCAACCCCACTGTTACAGGCAGGGTCACCAACCACCAGAGCAGGCTGCCCAGAGCCTCTCATTTCCAGCCTGGCCTTGAAAGCCTCCAGGGATGGGGCATCCACAACTTATGTGGGCAACCTGTCCCAGGGCTTTACTACCCTTTGGTTAAAAACCTCCTTTTAATATCTAGCCTAAACCTCCCCAGCCTCAGTTTAAAACCGCTCCCCCTTGTTCTATCACCAGCCACTGTGCTAAACAGCCATTCCCCCTCCTCTTTATACATTCCCTTGAAGTACTGGAAGGGCACAATGAAGTTTCCTCAGAATCTTCTCTTCCCCAAACTAAGCAAGTCCAGTTCCCTCAACTTTTCTTCCTAGCAGAGCTGCTCCAGCCTTCTGATCATCTTAGTGCCCTCCTCTGGACCCACCCCAAGAGGGGAAGCTGGGGGGCCCACAGGCAAATGAGGGCTCTGCAGTGCTGCTGCTGAGCCAGCAGGGCAGATGGAGAGGGACTCAGCAGTAGAGAGAGTCTGACAGTGATGACCCAAAATGGTTCATGGATGTTTGTGTTCACTGAGAAGAAATCAGAGTTTCTTGGCTTCCCCGTGGCCATTTCAGCACTGGGTCACCCCCAGGAATCCAGTGACTTGTCTGGGGGCATTGAGTGTGCTGGGTTGGGCTGCAGCTGCAGGGACAAAAACAACATTGGCAGCGTACTGCCCTGAGACCTTCTTCCCAAGTTCCATCTGCAGCTTCCAGAGGGCTCTGCTCTCCTGCAGGTCCTCTTGGAAAGCTGCCTGTCCCAGACACGATCTCTGGGGCCCTTGGAGATGGCATGGGATGCTTGTGATCACACAGTGGAGCTTTGCTCCTTCTCATTTTTTCCCATTAATAATTATCATTTCCTGTCTACTGATGTAAAGTACTTGTCCTAGTGGGAAGGTGAACCACACTGGTGGGATATGGCTGAGGAGTGTGTTCTCTTTTTAGGCAAATTGTATTGTGCTTTACTGTTGTTTGTTTTAAAGCAGGAAGCAACATCCTGTGCCTGTGTGCAGACAGTTCTGTAAGGAAAGCAGGTAAAGGAATGGTGTAAAGGAACTGTACCATCCAGCTGCAGACTGCAGTGGAGAATTCTGGTGTAGGGAAAAGTGATGCAAGGGCCAGGTGACATACAGCAGACACGTCAGGCCTGGGGAGGTGAGCAATCAGGTTGTCTGTACTGTGTCAGACCTCAAGCAATTGCTTCTCCTGCCTATGCAGATCTCCTTAGGAGACACCCTCAATCAACATCAGTTGGACAATGGTGCTCCAAAAGCAACAAGATGCACCTTGTAAAATCAGAAAACATTTTTCTTGGGTGCCTTTGAAATCTTCTTTCTTTCCTATAGGAAACATGGAGTGAAGTGTGAGTAAACTCAGAGTCAAGTGTGAGGCAATCCCAGAGTAAAGTGTGGGTAGGCCTGAAGAGAGAGTGCACACACCCAGAGTAGGGTGCCAGTAAAGCCCACAGAAAAGTGTGAGTAAACCAGGAGCAAAGTGTGAGTAATGTTGAAGAAAAGTTTGAGGAATCCTTGAGTAAAATGTGAGTGGAACACAGTCAAAACAGAAGTATGAGTAAACCCAGAGTACAGTGTTCATAAACCCAGAGTAAAGTGTGAGTAAAAGCCAGAGTAAAGTGTGAATCAGTCCAGAGTAGAGTAAGACTAAACTCAGAGTGAAGAGTGTGCATGTCTGGTGCAAAATGTGAGTAAAACCTGGAGAAAATCGTGAATACACTAGGAGTCCAATGTGAGTAAACTTGGAGTCAAGTGTGAGAAACTCCCAGAGCAAAGTGTGGGTTGGTCCAGAGCAAAGTGTTAGTAAATGTGGAGTAAAGTTTGAGGAAAACCCACAGTAAGGTGTGAGTCTACCCGTATTAAAGTGTGGATAGGCCCAGATGACAGAGTGTTCACACCAGGAATAGAGTGTCTGTAAAACCTTGAGAAAAGTGTGAGTAAGCCCTGTGTAAAGTGTGTGTAAGGTTGAAGAGCAATTTGAATAAACCTTGATTAAAGTGCGAGTGAAACACACTCAAAAATGAAGTGTGAGTAAAGCCAAAGTAAAGTGTTAGTAAATGTGGTGTAAAATATGAGTAAAATTGAGTTGGATTCGAGTGCACCCAGAGTTGCATAAGCATAACTCAGAGTAAAGAGTGTGCAAACCTGGTGTAGAGTCATTTTTGTGACTCAGTGAGTCACAAAATAATAAACCAGCCTATTCTTTGGACATCTAATGCATATGTAAGCAGCCTGCTCTTTAAGCATGTGCATTTCTTGCCTTCTGGTATGGAAGCTAGGTGGCAATATCCCCACTGCATCCAGCATGTGCGCAGCACTGATCAAAGTTTCACTGGGATTGACTGCTTGTTCAGAGTGGGCCCTTCTCACATCCCACATCCTGGGATGAGACACACTGCCCACATGGGACTTGGGCCTCACGGCATCCTTGCACCCCATGCAGAGTCTGGCAGCTGCTGTCCCCATCTCTTTCATTTGACATCACACAAACCTCCATCCCACTGCCCCAGGAAAGAAAGGCCCTGAGCCAGCAGGAGGGACAGGATCTCCCTGCCAAGGCTCTGGGGATCAGGGCTTGGCCTTTCTGCTTCACAAGACAAAGGAGGCTTTTCTCAGCATCACAGCCACCATCCCAGTGCCTTGGTCTGCCTGCAATCATGGCTTCCAATTCTCTGCTCTAACAAGTCCCTGGGGAAGCTTGCTTGTGAATGGCCCTCAGTGGGGCCCATTAATACTCCTAAAACTTCACTGTTCCTTCTGACTTTGTCTCCTTGAGCACTTTGTGCAATCTTCTCTTCTCTCTGCACTGGACGTTGATGGACTCAGCAGCAAATGCCCCCTGGGGCCCATTACAACCTGAAGAGCCGTGCTGTGCCTTGTGCCTTCCTGTCATCTTCTTCAGGTGTTGAGAACTTGTATAGATAACTGGAGAGATATCTGGAGAGAGCTTATAGAGGAAGAGACTGATGGGCATTTACAAAGTCCAGTTATTCATTTCTATGTAATCAGGTGTAAACAAGAAGTTAAAGCAGCACCTGGCAATTTATATTGATCCAGGATGTACCCTAACGAGCTTTGCTCTTTCACTGTGTGTAAAAATGTCCTCCTCCACCTCCCCACCCCTTTTCTACTCCCATTGGCCCCATGGGACTTGCATCACTTTTCCTCACGTCACTCTTCTCCTCTGCTGTCATCTGCCCAGTGTTAAAAATTCTATGCACCAACTCCCCCGGCTTTCCTCAGAAAACCAGATGCACATGGGCAGGAAAGATTTCTTTTTTTCCTTTTTTTTATTTTTTTTATTTTTATTTTTTTTCCAACAAACAGAAAGAAATGTGATGCAATTGAATGAGCAGTAAAACACAGTGAGCAACTGCATGCCTTGTTCAAGCTGCATCTAACAAGATTTGCCTTTCACTGGAATATTTGTACAATAAATAAGTTAGACGGAGATATGAAGAGATAGATATAATCATGGTTAAGGAGTTGAGAAAAGAGTTCATCAGACTTCGGAGAGGTGGAGCAATTTCCAATAAACTCCCTTAAGGTGACAGGTCATCCATATATTTGGGAGGAATCTGAGAGAACAAAGAGCAAGGAATGGGGAAATCTGGAGAGCAGTGGGAAGAGCATGTGCCCAGATAAAAAGGGCCTGCTGAAAACATGGCCTGAACCACGGTCATTGATTTAGGAGAGCTGGAGACACCTGGAGGATGAGGGACATCAAATACGCAGCAGGGTGGAGCAGCAGTGGACGCTGGGCATTGGTCACAGGGCATTGGCACTGGCACCACTGTCTGTTCCTGTACCTGAAGGCATCTGTGTCCCGCTGACACAGTTCTGGAAAATATTGTATTTAAGAAAAACTAGAAACAGGAGAAGACACAAAATCACCCAGAGTCTAGTGTTTTCTACCTAAAAATAGTGAGGAGTCATGAGATGATTAGCAGTTGAGAAATGTGTTAGTGTGTTTTTATTTATTTCTATCTTTGTCTTCAAACCATTCTTTCAATTTCATTGACATTAGTGAACATCTTTCAGACTTACAGCTTCACAAATGAGAGAAGATCCTTTTGTGTCTTGCACAGATCTTGGTGTCCACAGGATTTCCCTGCCCAGACCTGTGCATGACATCTCTCAGTCTTTGCTCTGACTGAGTCACACTGTGGTACTGAGTTCTCATTTTTCTCCGATCTTGTTTTAGATGATCATGTACGTGCAGCACAGGACTCTTCACGCTCTGTGAACATCTGCTCTCTTTCCATCAGTAAAAGGCCTTGAGGACATAGGATCACAAGAAAAGCCAAGCTGGAAGGGAACCTGGAGGATGTCTTCAGTGCAACCCGTCAGAAAGAGGGACAAATCAAGTTGTTCAGCATTTACTCCTGATGGATTTTGCAAACCTCCATGGGTAGGCACTGCAGAGCATCACTGGGTGACCTGCACTAATTCTTGGATCAACTTGTGGTGAAAATGGTGCTTTTCTGATGCACAGGCTGAACCTCTCCTCTCTCACTTCCCACACATTCTCTGTTATCTCCCACATGCACCATAGGGAAGGACCCGGCTCTGTGCTCTCCATCACCTCCTCATAGGTTCTGGCAGGCTGCACTGAGATCCCTTCATGCTTCCCTTCTCCAGGCTGGACAAGCGCAGCTCCCTCAGCCTCTCTCCGCAGGTGAAGTGTTCCAGCCTGAATCATTTGACCTGAGCCTTCCCAAATCCACTCCAGCTTGCTGTCGTATTACTTGTGTTGGGGATCTCAAATGAGGAGGCACTATTCTGGATAATGCCTTCCCTCCATCTCCTAGCCATGCTCTTGTTCATATAAAAAAAAGTGGAAGACTAACTTTTTTCCTGATTTCCAA